CTTCTTGATAAAATAGCTTTATTATTTTGAAATTTTTCATACACTTCCGGTAATTCAAAATATTTTTTAAGTTGGAATTTTATTGGGAACAAAATACCTGCTGCAATTGATTCGTCTATTGCTTTGAAATTACATGAAATCAAGTTAGAAAGTGAATTATCAATTTGGATTACAGAAGGATTTTCGTACATATCTGAATCTAATAACGTTTTAACAAATGTATGCTCTGAAGAAAAACTGGCGAATGGTGCCTTACAAAACGATATTAGCTCATTTAAATTCTCACGAACTTCGCTATGATCTGGCTCTAATTTTTTTACAATTTTTTCCAATTCCCCACTAATTGGACAAGTTATAAGATTTGTTATATTTTTTTGTAGTAACGTTACTTCCTTTCGGTGCAAGTAGTTGCTGGAATATTTTTCTAATGTAAATTTCAAACAGTTTTCTTTTAACAAATTTAAGTTTACATTTGATGTTGGTTTTTCAGTACTGTTTTCTATTTTTCTTTTTTTTTGACTTGAATTGATTTCGGAATCAATAGAAATATTAAATGCTGTTTCACTTTCTGTATGTATTGAATTGATTTCAGAATCAATAGAAATATTAAATGCAGTTTCACTTTCTGTATGTCCATGCTTTTTTTCCTCATTTCTCATATGGCGACGAAATGACTTAAAATCATCAAATTTATGTTTACACTCTAGAAAACAGCATTGGAAATAATCTACAGCACCTTTATGATGAACATACTGCAGATGTGTGAATAACTTTTCACATTGAAAAAATATTTCACCACAGACAAAACAGATTACCATTTCTTAAATTAAGAGAGATCGCTAATAACACTGGTCTACAAATTTCAACTTTTTTTCTGCGAATAAGACGGGACCTGGTGTTTCTGAACGGATTTTTCGTGCTGAACACGAATCCGGGGTCAAAAATGTCCCATCACGTCACGTTTTCGAGAAAAAAGGGGTTGAAACCCCTAAAAACAGCGTTTTTGGCCATTTTCGAAAAATTATAGAGCTGAACCCTGACGTGGTACAAATTTTGCATATATCAGAAATTAAAGGCTAAACCGTGCCCTTTCGAATGAGCCCTATGCCGAATTGATCGCGTGCACCCTTAAAGCAGGGGGTGTATTTGTGTTTAGGGGTGCAGGAAAAATTGATCACAGAAAGAATTTAATCTTAAACGATCATAGAAAATTAATAATGCCAAGGTTTTAACTATATTAAAAGTCGCTGATTACGAATCTGCAGTTAGATTTTAAAAATTTAAGATGACGGGTCGAATATGGTGGATATAAAAATTGGACTCCTAGACACAAATACACCCCCTGATCTAAGGGTGCATGCGATTAATTCGGCATAGGGCTCATTCGAAAGGGCACGATTTAGCCTTTAATTTCTGACATATACAAAGTTTGTAGCACGTCAGGGTTCAGCTCTACAATTTTTCAAAAATGGCCAAAAACGCTGTTTTTAGGGGTTTCAACCCCTTTTTTCTCGAAAACGTGACGTGATGGGAAGTTTTGGACCCCAGATTCGTGTTCAGCACGAAAAATCCGTTCGGAAACACCAGGTCCCGTCTTATTCGCAAAACCCTTGTAGACCAGTGTAAGCGATGAAACACAGCTCAAGTTTTCGTGTGTCAAATTAAAGAAATATTTCGCCAAAAACTCCCACACTTGTTTGCACTCTGCTGGGTATTCTAAATCTAACGTTGCGAATAATTTTAAGCAGACATCTATGCTTTTCATAAAATTGCCTACTTTGTAATAGCTGTTAGCGAAGAATATATAAAATTCCGTCAAATTTATATCATCTTCACCGATTCCGCACAAATGTGGTTGAACTGTTTCTCCAGCTTTGCACTTATTGATACCTTCAAGTATCTTATGTTGAAGCTCTTGCCTGGTAGCAGCATGTATAAGAAATGCTTCTCTGGACTCAAATAAAGTTGTTTTCTTGTTCTTTTTGCGATGAGTCGGTTTTAACATACTATGAAGCAACAAGGAAACAATCACATCACGTGCATCTACAAAGCAAATATAAGAGTATTATTACTCCTTGATACATTTCATAACGTAAAACAATTGAAGCTTACTTTTATCAATATTGGTTGTTAATTTTTCCAATAATTGAAGACCATATTTGTCTTTGGCGTAATTGTTAAAACGCGGTATCAATTTGGTTACGAGATTGTCCCATTCTTCCAATAAGCAGTTTGATTTTAGAGGATATTTTTTTTCAAAGTCCAATTCGATCTATGAAACAAACAAATTTCTTGTAATTAAATAATCACATAGACGAAACAACCTTTTACCAAACAATATCCAAACTGTTGCTTTAGAATAGGCCACTCTATTAAAATATCGTTTGTTGTAATTGTTGAATTAAATAACTTTTGTCTTGTCTCGTATGTAACATTCCAGTATTCTACCACTTTATCGTACGGTTCAATGTTGTTTTTAAGCCAATTTTTCGCTTCGTTTTCATTAGAATGTAAATCTGTATTAAGGTTTTTATCTAAATTCAACGAAAGAGACGAACGCAGTTTCGCTGGTTCAGGATTAACAGAAACTTTGGCCTTTCGTAGTTGGTAAATGCTGTTGTGGTAGTGCGCGTATAAATTGCCACTTGGCTTTTTACACTTTTTGTATAAGTAGTAAGTATCCTGTAAACAGTAAATTAATTAGCAAACCTAAAATCAAATCCATTTTTTTTTATCTAATGCATTACCTTAGATTCCTTTGGGAAAAGTTGTATAATTTTGTCCGCTAAATTCGAAAAATGAAATCTTGTTGGCTTAATTTTGTTATAAATTAAGTATTCCGTGATCGAGGAACATAAAAGTTTCCGAGTCTTGGTTGATAAACTTTGATTATTTTCAAAGTATTTTAAAACAGCATTTCCATTCACGTTAGACTTTAAAATTCCTAATAACGAAATCTACTAAACTATTTTTGTAATTTACTCAGAAACGCAAAATAATACTTACTTCATTTAAATCATTAACCGCACCAAGAAAACTAGAAGAAATGGATTCTGTTGATCCTGATCCGGGCGTTGCGCTTTCTGATGGAAAAGATAAAATTTCAATGCGCTGCATTTGTTTTGATTAGTTATTTCATTATTTAGATTTTCATTTAATAATTACCACTCCTTGTTCTATTTGCCACTCCTTGAATCTCTGTTCAAAAATAATTTTGCGTCCCAAAAGTTCTTTGGGGAATAATTCATTAATGTGGCTGCTCTGCATAAACTTTAAACTTTCCTCCGTAATGTTGTGTTCTTAAAAAAAAAACAACAAAAATTAATACAAAGCAAAAACGTTCGCGGCGCCTCTTTTCTTGTGAAATATTGTATATTCAAACACACATATGTACATACATGCATACATATGTACAGTTAACAGTTAACTTTGGTTATGCTGCACAAAAATTTCCTGTATGTACATATGCATTTTCAAAAGGCACATGTTTGCACTTGTATCTATTTCACAATATTATTTTCACACTTACCTTTCAGTAAATCGTACAAATCTATTAAATCAAATAATTCCAAAAGTTTGTACAATTTGTCCCCTTCGAAAACAATTTCCATATTTGTATTTGCCATATTTTATAGCACGTAAAGAAATTCCATCACTCACTTGTCACTGTTCAAATGTCGAATGGAAAACACAAAAGAGAACGCCAGCAGAGTTGAAAGCAGTGTTGCCACAGACATTTTTTTTTTCGTACCAAAAAGCGTACCAAAATGCCTTTGAAAGTACCAACATTTTTTTTTCTAATAATAAAAGTCAAACAGCTTTGTTCATTTTATTTATTCCTTTTCAATAGGGAAACAAGAGGCTTTACATCAATATTTGTACTACAAATGTATATATATGTATAATTTTTAGAAACAAATGTACAACTTAAAGCTTAAGGACACATGGTCGTTTGTATACTCGAGATCAAGTAGGTACTTAGATTTACTTATATCTTCTTTTTAAAGATAGAAATACTAAAAGGAACTTCTTTTCTACAAAATGTGGTAGAAAAAAAAAATGTAGCCTTTGCTTTTATTTTATAGGTTTATATATAAAATTCTTTAACGATTCAAAATAATACTTATATTAGAAAAATCCATAAAAATTTGCTTTTACGTGAAAAAGTACCAAAATCAAGAGCAACGTACCAACGTACCAAATCATTTTGAAAGTACCAGTTATGGTACGAAAGTACCAATTACGGCATCTCTGGTTGAAAGCAATACTTGACCAGTGATGCCAGATAAACTCCGCTAAATTTCCCACAAAAATGGGAAAAAATTCCCTCAGTTTCCCACATCTTAAATAAAAAATCCCACGAAATTCCCACAGATTTTAAATCATTTTTTATTGGGGGTATTGTATTTCTACTGCTGAGTGGAAGATACCCTGTTTCAAAATATTTTTCAAAAACGCCCTATCTCAGAATTTGTTTGAAAAACGGCCCATCTCAGAGTGAGTTTGAAAAACGACCGATCTCAATGAAAATTCAGTACATTTTCAGCTGAGAAAAGTCGTTTTTCAATCAAATTTTGAGAAAGGGCGTTATTGAAACAAATTCTGAGATAGGGCGTTCTTCAGCCGAATTTTTAAAAAGAGTGTTATTGAAGAATTTTCTGTAATAGAGCATTTTTGAAAAATATTTTGAAATAGGGTGGTCTTCCACTCAGCAGTCGATTTGTGATTTCACGTTCAGCATGACCGCTACATTACAGGCCGACCTAAATAAGGCGCTCAGCGTAGCGTTTTTTCGCCAACGTCAAGCAACGCGCGATATATCGAAATAAAAGCTCTAAATTGCTCTCATTTTTCTTTTCTTAAGGTGCTGGTCCAATGCACACTTGCTTTGCTGGCTCTTCTTACATTAGATTACCTTGCTTTCCTTTGAACGCTTCTATGGCCAAATAGAAGCTTCAAATGCGATGAGAAAACAAGACAAAAACAAGACAAAAAGTGAAACGTGTAAAGTGCTGTCAAATAGAGATTTCGGCTATTCGACGCTTTAAAGCGCTTCAAGCAAGCCAAGTAAGGTTGCCACTTGGCCAGCTTGCATACATTTCAGTAGAGTTTGACATTTCTCGAGGCAAAGCTAGCAAAGCAAGCGTGCATTGGGCAAAAGCCTTTACATTCCCCCATTCCTCACTTCACCCTGAAACGCGCTGTCAAAATTGAAAATTCCGATTGCTCAGAGTTGACGCCGCGCTGTCCCTTTTACAAAATTTTGTAGTGAAATATCCCTCAAAAAGGGTAATTTCCCACGATCTGGCACCACTGTACTTGACAAATGTAAAAACTTAGAGTAAAGAGAATCTATCCATGTATGCTTGAACTTAAAATAAGGAAGCATGACCTTATATCAAAGCTTGAGTTAAGTAAATAGTCGGTTCGCATAAGGTTGAGTCATCCTTAAATTGAATAAATTTTTACTAGTTGAGAGTTTAAGTAAATATTGTCCTTAAACCAAGTAAAATTGAACTTATTTCACTTATAAAGTCTAAAAATGACTTGTTTTCAGTACAATTTTACTAAAATATAGGAAAATGCCATGAACTTAAAATAAGCCATCGATTTTCTTATTTTAAGTACGATTGTCCTAAAATTGAAGGGTACGACTTACTCAAATTAAAGGAATTTTACTTACTTTGAGTAAATTTTACTATATTTAAGTATATTTTGAGTTTTTTAAAACAAGGGCGCGCTTTCCTTAATTCTAGTCTGTCCATTATTTTCAGTGTAGAAAATCGACCCGTGTAAAGGCGCCTTAATCCAGCGAGCAATTATCATTAAAGTTAAAATTCCTTGGTTAAAATTAATAAAAAGTTATTTCATTCTTTCTTTACCGGGACAATTGTTACATCGGTGGGCAACGACGCAATTACAGAACTTTAGACAGAGCAATATTTTTCGATCGGGTTCAAATCGGGCGATTGTGAGGGCCTATTCACGAATTCAAGCGTATTTGCAAAGTTGCTGTAGCTCACCAATGTAACAATCGTGTCGATAAAAAGGTAAAATATAACTTTTAGTTTGCTATTCAAAACCCCACCTCCTTTCTATTTGAAGAGTAAATTTCTTTATGCAACAAAACGGAGCAGATTTTCAGTTGAGCGAAGTAGAGGACTAGGTTTCACATTTTTTCGATAAAACGGAACAAATCTACTCCTATCGGAGCGAAGTCCGAACGATGGCTTATTGTGTATATGAGGAAAATGTATGCTCTTTGTTTGGTACACAAAGTCAGTATTACCGCAGCCGTACTGCGATGAACATTATGTCGGTGGGATATAAATAATTTTTTCGCAACTTTTCATACCCTTCCTCCCGTAAACTGTTTTTCCCTTTCTCCAGCCCGCGCTCGCACGTTCGCTACTGCGCGGGCAAAAAAGTGCCCATGTCTGATGTAAGGCAAACTGTGAATCACAGTGGTCGGTCAATAATAGTTTGAGGTTGTATTTAAAAAATTTTGTTGGTCCGTTAGTATGAAATATGCGTAAGGAACACTATCTGTTCATATTTCAACAAAATTTGCAAGATGTAGCCGAAAAAAAAGTTTCTGCTGAAAAATCGCCCAAAACACACTGCACATGTTGGCAAAGACTGGATACAAAAGCAAAAATTTGCTAATTTGAAATGACCTCCACAATCCGCGGACATGAATCTTTTCGAGAATTTGCGAAATCAACTAAAAGCACAGCTTACTAAGTATCCAAGTCCGTCCAATGGAGTATATGAGCTGTGAAAGCAAACTAAGGATATATGGGAGGATATACCTCCAGAATTTTTACAGAGATACAAATAAGGTATGCGAAATCGCATCCAGCAACTAAAAGAAGCAAAAGGGTACTGAAAATTGTGTTAATAATTCTATTTTTTCGTGAAAGTTGTCATAAAGTTATTAAAAATATATAAGTGCAAAACCGTAACATTTGCCTTAATTTGCATTTTTGTCTGCTGGTTTTATTATTGTTGTTGGATTGACTTCAAATCGTTATGAGAGAGGAAGTACAGGTGTACCAATAAGAATATACAACAAAAGTATGAATATCGTTAGAACTTGGAAAGATAGCGGCGGCTGAAATAAAAAGTGTTACACCAAATTACAGTTTTGCTCGTCACTGTATGTACAGTATCGTTCATATCAATAGCACCCCCATTTCAAAGTGCGATTGTTTACCACTTTAGTTTATTATTATTTTTTAATCTGATTAAAAGGTCAAACATTTTGATGAAAAATCGTTAAATTTAACTTTGTTTTGTATAAAGTTTTAAAACACGGTTTATATTATTTTGTTTTAAGCATGATCATCTT